AGTTTCTGTGAGTTTCTGTTCTAGTTTAAACATCCTTGAACTAAGTGAGTGATACTGGAACAATATCCAAGGTCTCAGATTCATGGAGCTCTCTTCCACAAATGTATAAGCAGTAACAAAACCAAATACAATCTGAAATCAAAGAAGAGCCCATACATTGCTTTAAGGAGCTAGGTTAAGACAGAAAAAGAATGAGAAATGTGGGGCTTTGGAACTGCAGACCAGGCAATCCAAAAATAAAAGCAGAATGAAAATACTGTAAGAGAAAGATGTGTCTTAACTCTAAATAACATAAAACTCCCACAAATGTCTAGTTTTATCTTAAATTCTGCTAGAAAACAACATTTATACCAAGCATAAGGGAATTCCCTCACTGTCCAGTGGTTAGGACCCAGTGCTCTCACTGCCAGGGCCCCGAGTTACATCCCCGGTCGGGAAACTAAGATCCTGAAAGCTGCGTAGCTCGACCAAAAAAAAAAAAAAAATACACCAAACATGAAAAAAATAGCAATAACCATTAAACAAATAGAAGTAATTACATGTGACACTTTCAAAATATATATTACCTAGATTATTCATGTTGTTCTAAATTATGATGCTGAAACTTTCTATTGCAAATATAATTTGAATATATGAAAGTCCTGGTGAATTTGCTTTGCCTTCAAGTCAACCTATTTTTCTATACAGTAAGTCCCCTACATATGAACCTTCAAGCTGAGAACTTTTCAAAGATGCGAACGTGCATTCACATGTCCAATCGCGTAAGTTATTCACGTGCCTGGTGTACACTGTCACGTGCATGTATCCTCTACAAGTGGTTGTGCTTTTGTGTACTTTATTGTACAGTACTGTATAGAGTACAGTAGTATAATATCCTTATTTCAAGCCCAGGATGTCCGGAAGCAAGCGTAAAAGCAGCGGTGATGTAGCTGGTACTACTGTACTTTACAAGGTACCATACTGTAAAAGTAAAAATGTTTTCTTTATTTTTTGTGTTTGTTCATTTTTTTAATGTACTGTTTGTGTGAAAAGTATTATAAACCTATTACACTACAGTACTATATAGCCTATTATGTTAGTTGGGTACCTTGGCTAACTTTGTTGGACTTAACGACTGCACTCTTGGAACAGAACTCAGTATATATGAGACTTACTCTATTTTTTTGTGTTGTTTTATCATGTATTGAATTATGCTCATCAGACACACTTGTGTCTTTTTTTTTTTTAAGAAAAACAATCCACATTTGCATAAAGGGCTGGTTTTCTCAAAACCATTATCTGAAAACATGGAACTTGCATTTTTTTTTCATAAAAGTGTTTATGGATTTATGCAGTTATCTTTCAACATTCATTGTAAAGATAGAAAGTCAAGAGTGGAGGTTGTAGCCAGGGCTTAACAGGCTCTGACTTAAAATGGCATTTTTAGAACTGGTATTAGGTTAATTTTCCCAGATTGTGCAGAAAGGAAGAAATGCGGCTATGAAAAGAGAGAGCTTCCCACAGGCCGTTCAAAGAACCACACCATGTCCAGGAGTTTGCAGTACTTTGGAGCATCTCCTCAGACAGCTCCATTTGTTGCTTTGGGGGAAGCAGTGTCTGCAGCAATCCCTCTACTCTGAGTTCAAAATTATTGACCTTTAATTTCTTTAACTTCTAGATTTCTTTGCCCATGGTTTACAGAGTTGGAAGCCAAAGAATTCTGCTCTACATACTTTAGATGTATTAATTCATTCAACCCTAATATGACTTACAGTATATCTTATCCTCATTTTATATCCGAGGAAACTGAGGCACGGAGATGCTAAATAACCCACCAATGGCCACACAGCTAGGAGGTGGTGGAGGCAGCATTATGAGGCAGTGGTAACCACTAAACTACCAGGGAGGATGGGCACACACCACTAACAGTCTCTAACATGTGGCTCCCCAAAGCCAGACCGATTATATATTAAATCTAAGTAAGATTTAATAAGACAGTTACAATGCAAACTCAGCTTTAAGAACAACCCACTTGCAACCAAACTGCCACCCGTAAGTTTCTCTGCACAGAAATCATGGAACTCCTGCTACCACTCACACTACAACCCTAGCTAGTCCTATGTTTACTAACATTGGATGCTTAAATCCAGAAGATACTATACCTATTCCCACTGTTATATTTCAGGAAGTAAATTATAATTATATGCTTGTAAGTCAGTCTTCCTCGAAGGGTGAAACTGTCTCCTCAACTCTGTGTCCCTAACAAATAGCATACAGTGTGGGACATAATAAATGCACAATAATCGTTCAGAACTTTACTTCTAATAGCATACACTATCCAAATGAGCTAATGGGTTTCTAATTCGTGGGGATGTGAACAGGTTTGTTTTTAACTGCCACAAACACCAAAGTCAAACTAAAAAAGATATAGGCTAAAAGAGCAAGGGAAGAGCACTGCCTCAATCCCCACCCCACAAGCATCCCCATTATCTCCATGAAGTGGTTGCAGCCTGTAATTTTAATGTTTCTTCTCAGAGTGACTCCCTCTGCTGCTCCAGCAAAGCCATGACCTAAATCAGAAAACTGCTAAACGCAGTTAAGGCACTCTGGCTATTTGCACTAACTGGAGAACCCAGCATACATTAGAGAACAGTTATTTTTAAGTCTCAACAATAGTTCTAAGAAAGCTAAGAAAGTTTATTTAGGACAGCTCGGTGCCTCCTTCAGGTCCTCAGGGGGGTTGCTCAAAAAAGGATCAGTATGTATTCTGATCAGGACAACCAGACTACAATGGGAGATGCTCTAGGACCCTGTCTTGTTGAATTTGGAATCCCCAGTATCCAGAACACAGAAGGCCAGGAAGTCAATAAATGTTAACAATTTTATGGTTCCTCATTCTGTGCAAGTACTTGAAAAGTTTGCTCTCTGAAGCCTTTTAAGTATTCCCTAAGCTAGAATACATGAAATTATTGTGCTAAACAAAGGTAAACTAGCCTACTTTTCCTTACTGCAAATTCCAAACGTGAATTTACGAATTTACTCTGCTCCTAAAATAGAAAAATATATGGTATACTGGTCATGAAATTCAATCTTTCATGCCAATTGTCTATTTGTACCACACCAATATGCATAAATGCACGAAAGTAATTTTTACTCTTTTCTCAGAATAAGTATATTATTTTTAAAACATTACAAATTATCTTACAATAATAGAGAATTATCCCAATATGATTAGAACCTTCAGTAATTTCCTGTTCTGAGTTTGGTGGTGTTAACACTCATAACACTAGTTGGTGCTAGATAAGCGGAATGTCAATGCTGTGTAAATCCAGAAATAAAATGCATTTATAAAACAGGAGGGCACTAATTCTGAAGCAAACTGATCAAGTGCACACACACACCCCTACACACACACACACACACGCTGCCTTTTCCTGGTAAAATCTTTCATTCTTGAAAGTCAGAAACACCACAAATTCCCCGGAGCTAGGAGTTCCCAGCAGTCCTGAACGAAACAATTAGAACATAGCCAGATAGGAGAAAGCTGTTGCCTAAAGTCTAGAGAATCTCCCAAGGACCTGTTTAAAATGACTGATGTCTGTCTTCAAACCACACTTACAAAATGAAGTACACTCACAAATAACACCCATTCTGCTTTTTTATCTTAAACATCTGTTATTTTCTTGGCTCTCTCTAAAGAGACACATATTTCCTAAAACTTCCAATTTTCTAGTATCTTTCCAACAACAGAATAAAAACCTTTTCCACTGTGTAAAGTGCTTAAATTAACTTTCTCATCTTAACTGCATACAAACTTCCATCCATAAAAAATAGTTTATTCCCATCTTTAAGTCCTCAGCACAAGGAAATCATACCTTGAGGGAGCAACAGCATCTTTGATTTACCTAGTGATCTAGTCCGAAGAGAGAGAAGAAAGGAGAAGACATTAGAAGGAATGGAAGGTCTGACTATCAGAGAATTATAGGAGTGTGACTCTAAGAAGAAAGTGTATGTATTAGTAGTTCAATCGTAAACAGGCTAGGGGAATGGAATAGAGTGATAGTGATAGGAGCTGAAAGTAGGGTTTGGTGCTTTCTACATTTTTGATACCTAACACACAACACAGGAATAGCTGGTATCCTGCAACATGGAGGAAAACAAAGATTAAAGTGGTGGAATAGTGTCTCTCAAAGACCACAGATTCAAACATAAATAGTTTGCTCACCAGGAACTGAAAGAAAAAAACTATACTAAACGGAGAAGAACAGCAGTGAAATGCACACACCCAAAAGAATACATTTAATTATTCCACTTAAGATCAGAAGAGTAGGTTCAATCCTCAATCTCTGGCTTGCCTGGTCTATAAGATGAAAAAAGTGTAAGTGGCAAACGCTCAGTCTGTCCTGACTGTCTTTTCTTTTCATCTCTTCTCCCTTCTTCTTTCAATATTAATCCACTCACAATCTCCTGTCTGATGATCTTTATTGATCCTTTTTCCTACCCAGTCTTTTTAATTTGGCTGTAGGAAGCTCTAGGCAGGGATCCTATGTCTCCTATTTGGCATCTTTGGGGACTTTAATTTGTCCTTTTCCCAAACAGTTCTCTCACCGCCTGGTCCCCCTCCCACTCGCACCCTATAGCTTAGTCCTTTGTGCGACCAATAACAGCAGGCGAATTCCACAGGGAGTCACGCGGTTGACTCCACAACAATTCATCAGGTTGCTCCCTTCAACTTCCAAACACCCCCTCTAAGTACCCTCAGCAGCCGTCCTGAGAACTTCTCCCAATTTCAAGAAACCTGAAATAAGTTTATGATTCTCAGGGGAGACTCCTTTGTAAAATGGACAGGCAGATGAGCTTTAGACATATGACTGAGAAAACCAGGGCTAAACCTCGGGGATGGGAGGCATTTGGCAAGAAGGGAAGGAAGGATTTATGAGCGTGGCTACTTAGCGAGGCAGCAGGACAATTTACTCCCGAAGTAGCTGTGGCTAATCCGCAGAGCCTCGCTGATCACTTACCTCCCGACCCGGAACACACTAGCCTACGCTCAGCGCCCCCCTCCGCCTCCAACGTCCTGGTCACCAGCGCCTCCGCAGATCTGAGGGGGATGCTGTCGGTAACATCCGGAGTGTCTGAGCATCTCCGGGGAGTTGAGGCTATCGCCGCACCTCCTCTGCTTTCCAACTTTGGAGCGAGTGTAACCGAGAGGATGGGATTACCTCCGAACGCTGCAGAAGCCTCCTCCATCCCTCGCACCCCTATCCCAAGGAAGAGCTGAGCTCCCTCCCCTGTGCCAGCGACCGCCACAAAACTGGGCGGTTAAGACCCAGGTGGGCCCTCGGCTTGTCCAGAGGGTGGCGGGGGCACTGGGGGCCCAGACGACCCGAGAGAGACCCCGGAGAGGGGCGCCTGGGCTCCTTCCTCGCAGTCTCCCTTCCACTCAGCTTCCCAGGCTCGGAAGGCTGGGATTTGCCTCTATCGCCTCACCCTCGGAGGGCGAGAAGGAAACTAGGCAGCCAGCCCCCGGGCCTCCCCTTCTCCCTTACCCACCCGCAACTCCTGGCCGAGCTTCTCCCCCATCCCGGTTTTGCCCAGAGCCCCGGACACTTATTTTCAAGCTCAGACGCATCAAATTAAAATGTCAGAGTTATAAAGTGGCCGGTTACCCCGGGGAGTTTCGGCTTTGGTTTGAACGACCAGTCCGTTTCCTCTAGAGCCGGGGAGGGGGGGCGGCGGCAGGGGAGGTACGTTTCTCCGTCGCCGGCTGGGACGGAGAGCCGGAGAGGAGAGGGTAAGAGGGCGGAGGAGGCGCGCACACCCCGGGGCCTGCTGCGGGCTGCGGCGCGCGGGTCCGGGGGCGCCGCGAGTCTCCGCAGCGCCCCGAGCAGCAGCCGAGGGCCACCGGCGCCAGCGGGTCCTCGGCCGCCACGGACACGTTTCCGTAGCGGAGCGCCCTTCGGCGTGTGGCGCTCAGAGACTCAGCGAGGATCCGGCAACCCCCGACGTGGCACAGCGCAGGGAGCCTCTGCGCGTCACGGGGCCTCTACTGCAGGCCACGCAGCCACCCGCGCCCAGAGTCTCTCCAAACCTCGCTGTGCGCAAGGTACAACAACGTGTGAGCGTGCAGCATAAAGTGCAAGAGACACATGCCCGGAGACAGACGTGGGTCCTACACCCCGCGCGTCCGGGCCCATCCGTGCCCATCTCGGAAGACAGATTCAAAATCATCCTAACCAAAGCTTCTTGACTAGTTGGGAAAGTAGAATTTAAAGTGGTTTCCAGTTGAGGAAGACGAGGCGGGTTAAGGAAGCCAGGGGAACTGGGGAGGAGGAAAGGAAGAAGGAGGAAAGGAAGAAGCGAAGGGAGGTGGCGCGGAGCTCGGCGGACCCCCTTACCTTGAGCGGCCGAGCCGGTGCCGCTGGCGCTGAGCAGGGCCAGGGCAGGTAGCACGAGCATCTGCAGCACGTATCCCAGCCCCAGTCCGCAGCGGGCCGCTGTCGCCCGCAGACCTTTCCTCATCGTCGACAGAGGTGCGCCGGGGGGAGGCACACACGGAGGAGCGCCGACAGCGGAGAGCCCCACCGGGCAGCAGCGGAATCCGTGCACCGCGAAGCTGTCTGAAGGAGTAACGACGACCGAGCGCCACACTCCACTTTCTCCAAGGGCAGGGGCCAAAAGGGGGTGGAGAGGAGGCGCTGAGGAGGAGTTTGGAGGTCCCGCTTTCCCTGTGCCTGCTAACAGGCGGCTCCGTGAGCGGCGGCTCTGCCCCCACTTGGGAAGTCCGGGAAGGCGCAGGGCGGCCACCTCGCCGCTCCCCTCAGCAGCGGGAGCAGCCGCAGCTCCGCCGCGCGCCGAGCCCGGACTGTTCCCCGGGTCCCCTCGCCTGTGCCGAACACACACAGGCACGCGGGGCGGGGGGCGGGCGGAGGGAGAGGAAGAGAGAGCAAGAGGAGGAGGGAGCGGAGGGTGGGAGTTGTGCACAGTGAGGCGCTCCCGGCTCCAGTCTCGGGGTTCTCACGCGGGCGGAGAGACTTCCCGGCTGCGGCTGCGGCTGCTGGGTGGCCGAAGAGGGTCACCTAGTAGTGCGGGGCGCACGGGCGCGCCAAGGGGTTCGCCCAGGAGGCGTGGAGGGCCCAGCCCAACTCCGCTGGGATGTAAGAGGCGGCGGGAGCGCGCCCGCCCGCCCGCATTAGGGAAACGAGGACTGCGGGAGCGGCGTGCCCGGAGCCGGAGGTGGAGAGCGGCTGTTGGTTTCTCTGCGGAAGCTGAGGCGAGAGCGACCTGAGGAACGAAGCGTATTGGGAGCGTGGGAGCGCGCCGGCCTCACGCCGTGCGCCAGACCCGGACTTCGAGAGCGCAGCGGGCGCGCCCTGAGCCCCTTGGCTGAGTCCAGTCTGTCGCCTCCCAGCTCCTCCACGGCGCCGCCAGAGCCTGAGCCAGACTCCCCGGGACTGGACTCGCTCTAAGACTTCGTGTCTTGCGGTTGATTAGGCGGGGGTGGGGGCGGGTGGGGGTGGGGGCGGGCTCGAGCTGAAGTCCTGCGGGGCCGGGAAGAAGGCATGAAGCTTTTGCAGAGCCCCAGCCCGCGGCAGTCTTGGAGTGGTCAGCGCCAGTCAGACTGCTTTATGCTCTGGGTGCTTATGACTCCTCTGTAGTGGAACAGAAACCAAAAGCTCAAGGAAAACTCATTCAACAGAGCTTTATTTTCGTGCATCTTGGTGGCTGGCAAGGTTGAGTATGTAAAGAGTGGTGAGATGAAACCGGAGAAACTCCCAGAAACGATGCACAACAAAATTTGTAGATACTCACTTAAAGTGATGGTGGAACCTATGACATGTTTTCCAGATTCCTAACGGTGTGTGTGTAAGGACTCAAACTGCAGTGCGTTTTTATTATTTTTCCTCAGGAAAGAATTGCCTGGGTAGCTAAGTCGTGGATCCCTGTTGTAATGGTGAAGGGGAAATGTAATAATGGGTGGATAAAATAAGGAAAGGCTGGACAAAAGGAAAGTGGATGGATGGAAAGTCCAATACACATTGGCACACTGACCTTCCAGGAAGAAGAAAACCACTTCCCAAGATTATTACATTTCTAAACTAATGTTAAATAATATATCAGAGAAATTTTAAGCTCTTGGTGCCAATGTGTAAACACACACACAGGCAGGAAGCTTGTGGTTTCATCTTGGCTGTGGTCCTAACTCATTCTGTCATCCTGGACAGGTCAGGTGAACTGCATGTCTCAGTTTCTCCATCTGTGAAATATTTTATTAGTTTCAAAGTTAACCTCCATCTAAACCTCTAGCCAATAAGACCTGTCTTGGATGAGTCTGGTAGATCTGAAAAGGTCATTCTTGGCAAAGACATTGACAAATCTAGCCACTTCTTATTTCTCTGGAGGCACAGCCTGCCCTGCTAAAATCACTTCTTCTCCCTCTTCAGCTTCGCTACACCAAGATACCAAGATATTTTGGTAAGAAGATCAGAAGTTCCTGTGTCAGACTGTCTGAGCTTAATTCTTAGCATTTCGTATTACTAGCTGACCGACATTGAAAAATAAAGCTTGATGCTTCAGTTTCTTAATCTGTAAGATGGGTCTATTTGCAGTAGCTATCTTCTAGGTTTTTGTGAGAGATAAATGAGTTAAACATGTGAAGTGCCTGACACATAAAATTGTTAGCTCCTGTTCTTATTTTTGAGGAAAGATTCCCATCAGCTGCATGCTGGCTAGACCAGTGCTGTCCAACAGAACGTTCTGCAGTGAGAAACATATTTGTATCTATGCTTTCCAAAATGGTAGTCATTAGACACATGTGGCTATTGAGCACTTGCAATGTGACTAGTGTGAATTGGGAATTTTTATGTAATTAATTAATTTTAATTGCCACATGGCTAGGGGCTACCATGTTGGACAGTGCAGCTCGGCCACTGATAACATGTCATTTATTTTGAGGATGGCATCAATAGAAAGGGTTCTGTTTATATTTCATACCTGTCCTTACAATTTTTTCCAAGAAGGACAGCAGCTTAAATACTAAGAAACCCTCACGTATAGTCATTCTATTAACATCTAAAATTTGTTTATTCATTTGCAATTTTATTGGTTATCTTTTCCAACTAGAATTTAACTCTTTAAGGCAGAGACTTTGCCTTGTTCACCATTTCAGCCCCAGCTCCAAACACAGAACCCAATGTAGAGTTAGTGCTCAGTCAGTATTGGTTGATTGATTGCCAGAAAAGCTCAGTAGAGAAGAATCCTCAAAGTCTAGTTAGTTAAATAGAATTAAATTGTTACATAATTCTATTTGGGTTATTGAAGTGCTCAATGACAGACACTGCATAAAATTAATGCTTTGAAAGAAAGAGTAAGAGACAAGGGGAAAAGTAGTTCAATACTGAAGTTCAGTCTATAGAGAGCAGGAGAAGGTTTTGAGAAATGGTATGTAGAGATGAGATGGGAAAGAGAGAGAAGAGTTAGTGCACAAGAACAAGGACAGAAAAAGTACCAGCAAATCAATCAGCTTTACCAAACAGGTGACTTTTCTGAAATCTGTAATTGCAGATGGAACTTGCCTTGTGTATCAACATCCTGCCTAGTTTTTTTTTTTTATGGAAGAGAGAATGCACTGTTGCATAGGCCTCTGAGCTAGAACTGCTAACTTACCTCACTTAGATCTGGGCTCACATGTCACTACTTAGAGATTCCTTCTCTGACCAATTTACCTAAAATAGCACCTACCATATCACCCTCAACAGCATATACCTGCTCTGATTTTCCATATAGTACTTATTTTATAAAAAACATATATGCTTATGTTCAAGTATACATAGATGTATGTATGTATATGTATATATATAGGTAGAGGTATATGTATATCTGTTGAATACTCTCCAAAAGAATGTATGCTTCTCAAGGGGAGGAATTTTTTTCTTAACACTTTCGCTGGTCTATACCCAGAACCTAGAAAACGGCCTGGCTCATAATAGTTGGTCAATAAACATTTCTTGAACATTGAATGGATGAATGAGAGCCAATGGATCTTAAAACTAAGTCCTCAATTAAAACTTCTTTTATTTCCCCCAAGACAAATTTTCAAATTATGAATAGGGTTTTCTAGTTGTTGGCAAAAATCATATTGGGGCAAATTTTCACAAAAATGAATTTAACTATGACTTTTTCAGGATTGGAATAGTGCAGGTGTTTAAGGAACAGACATGAAATTCACCTCATTTTGAAAAATAAAAAGCTTCATTTAAATCCATGTACAAGGGCTTCCTTTTTCTTGGCTGCAGTGAGTGGAGAATTAGCTCTGAGATAATAAACACCACTGACAGGTGCTAATGGGAATTAAACATGCAAATCCCTGCATATCCCTCCAGAAATCTACACCTAGAAAAGTATGCTATTTAGCATGTAGGCTGCTTAGTTATAGTATTATTTACTCTAAACTAGTATGGAAAAAGTTTCCAGCTTAAGGCTTAAGACATAAAAAACAGTGAAAATTTATTTTAATTATAGAAATATTTTCTTTCATTTTATCTCATATGTTTGATTCCCCATTTTTTGTCTTTTTATATATTTTTAAAAATAAATCATATCAGAGATATTATTAACTGGCAACATATAAGAAGGAGGATTTTAGTGAATATAAAGAGGATAGTGATGAGGAAACTCACTTAGGAGTTGGCGGTTCATAGGCCTCAGGTAAAATTACTGATAGACATCAACTGAGGAGAGCCAGATGGTCCAGATTCAATTGATTCAATGCCCATTCTCTGCCTCAGCCCACAGAAGGAAATTTGGCCTGCCATAAACCCATACACTCTGGGGCTTTATGCTTTATATTAATTGTATTAGACAAGACCCTTTAGGTTGCAAGTGAGGGAAACCCAACTCAAACCACCTTAAGCAAAAAAGATAATTTATTGCTGTACATAACTCAAAAGACATAGATAGGGCTTCCCTGGTGGCGCAGTGGTTGAGAGTCTGCCTGTCGATGCAGGGGACACGGGTTCGTGCCCCGGTCCGGGAAGATCCCACATGCCGCAGAGCAGCTGGGCCCGTGAGCCATGACCGCTGAGCCTGCACATCTGGAGCCTGTGCTCCGCAACGGGAGAGGCCACAACAGTGAGAGGCCCGCGTACCGCAAAAAGAAAAAAAAAAAAGACATAGATAAAAACATCTACGTTAATAATGGCTAGTGTTTATTGGTCACACACTGTGTGTCAGGCACTGTGCTAGGCTTTTTATGTGTCCTATCTCATTTAATCCTCAAAATGAAGATTAAATTAAAGTACTATTATTATCTCCATTTTATACATGAGGAAACAGAGGGCTTACGTAACTTTGCCCAATCTGATTTCAGGGATCATGTTCTAGATCCAAGAACTTAAATACCACCACTCACAGGACTTAGTCCCTCCCCAGTTTCCCCTAGTCTCTTAGTTCTGCTC